GGGCTACATATTGGGTCCATTCAGAAGCATGCGGCCCTCTGGTTTTATAAATCCGGAACCGTCAGGCCACCGCGTTCGGGCAGGGGGCTTCTTCTCTCCGACTCTTGGACAAAGGCATCTGGTTCCAAAATGCACGCTGGTCTATGGAGGGCACAGGTGAGCGTGTTGCTGAGAAGCAGGACAGCTTGGGTGTGTTACACAGGTTTGGCCAGAGTCACTGTGGTCACAGCAGGCATCAGGACAGGGGTCAGGTGCTGTGAGGGCGTGACCAGGAGTTCTGAGAACTCTCAGACCTGGCCTCATTGGCCCTGGTGCTTCTGGGTGATTTGGGGAGGGAGGTCGCGGTGGGGCCGGAATGGAAGAAATGTAAATGTTTATGTTCACTTTTCCCTATTTGCATTTTTTAAATGTTCTCTTCCTTCATCCCAGTTGTCACTTTTCTCTAGAGTAAAATGTACCTTCCCTTTGCAGAGCATTCTACCTTGATGAATCAGAGCATCTTATATCCTCTTGGAGTTTACTACTGGCAACCAACTTCTTTCACAGGATGGATGGAGCTATTAAAGCCTGTTGTTTCCAGGGAGCCTCTGGAGAATGTTCTAGAGTGTTCATCTGGGGATCATTTTATGTGTTTATACCTTGGTGTACACATACGAAGAAATTCACTGATGTACTTGCAAATGTATGCACTTTCCTGTGTGTATGTTATACCTCAAAAGGGTGTATGCCTAATTTACTCAGAGGTTTATTGAGCACCTGCTATGTACCCAACCCCTTGCTCAGCTCTGTGGGTATGGCTTCCACCCGCAGGAAGCTCACAGTCCAAGGAAGGGCCAGTGACAATTGTGATCACTGCTCTGATGGAAATAAGCACTCAGGGCGAAGAGTCCTTACTTCAGTCGTGTGTCCAAAATTAGGGACAAGTGGAGGAGTCAGGTTTCTGGGAGCTTTTTGGAATAGAGGGTGTCTGTCCTGAAATGTAAGCGGGAGGGCAGCAAAGGAATGTTCCTTGGAAGCACTGATGCTGAAGCTGAAGCTCCAATCCTTTGGCCACCTGATGCGAAGAACCGACTTATTGGAAAAGACCCTGATGCTGGGAAAGATTGAAGCAGGAAGAGAAGGGGACGACAGAGGATGAGATGGATGGATGGCATCACCAATGCGATGGACATGAGTTTGAGTAGGCTCTTGGAGTTGGTGATGGACAGGGAAGCCTGGCATGCCGCAGTCCATGGGGTCACAAAGAGTCGGACGCAACTGAGGGACTGAACTGGGCAGTAAAGGCAGGATAGGATGGCGAAGAGGAGGCAATCACGTCTGTCAGGAGATCAGCACAAGTGAAGTTGTGGACTTGCAGGCAGAGGTCATGGTTCCTTATGTGTATCTGCAGCAGGTCACCTCAGCTGATCCACTAGTGGAAGGAAGTTTGGTTTTTGACCTGCCAGCAATGCAGAGTCTCGTGTTTCTGGCTTGTCTGATAGATTCATGACATAGATTCATGTCTGATAAATTCATGAATAGATACATGACAACCCAAAACAGTAGCCAGGGAGGCATGAAAAAGCAATAGGGAAACAATTCTGGTGTTTTTACCACAAAAGAAAAAACAGTCTTTCCCTGGGGCTTCCCTGGTGGCTCAGTAGTAAAGAATCCAGCTGCCAATGCAAAAGACGCAGGTTTGATCCCTGGATGGGGAAGATCCCCTGGAGAAGGCAATGGCAACCCACTCCAGTATTCTTGCCTGGAGAATCCCATGGACAGAGTATCCTGGTGGGGCATGAAGTCACAAAAGAGTCAGATACGACTTAACGGCTAAACAACAACAATTTTTCCCTGGGTGTTGTGCCCTCTCTTAGCACTGGTGCAGGAGCTTTTGAAAGATAAGGGATGCTTTATTGTGTCATCTGGCCTTTGCTTAGCAAAGGACTCCACAACTGGAGGGAGGAATTGAGAAACCTGATATCCCCATTTTCCAAACCAGGGTGATGTGCTTCGTGTGTGCTTCACATGTGCAGACATGTGAAACATGTCTGCAAGCTCCTACACATTCCTCTTCTCCCTGGAATTTAATTACTGTCATCAGGATATGCTGAAGTAATACAAGCTGTTGACAGCCAAGACACATCAAAGCTCAACTTCAGTTACTACATGTGGGTTGCAACACTTACCTCCACTTATTGATAAAGCTCCCTCCTCACAGCTCCTGAAATCTGTCCTTCTCTCTTAAAATGCTGCACAAACTGTTTCGCACAAAAAGCTGGAGTAAGTGCTCTCATCTTTTTCACCTCTGACCTCTAATGATTACCAGCAAATAATGTCACCAGAGTAGACGCTGGCCTAAACACATAACTGGGTGCAACGGGGTGTTTTTATCTAATTAACTTTGTGGCTTTTTCCCATCTTGCAAGAAGGCGGGTGAAAAGGCTGAGAAGCCAGATACTAAGGAGAAGAAACCTGAAGCCAAGAAGGCTGATGCTGGCAACAAGGCTAAAAAGGTGAAAATGGTGAAGAAAGTTAAGAAGGGGAAGCCCCACTGCAGCCGAAACCCTGTCCTGGTCAGAGGAATTGGCAGATATTCCCGATCAGCCATGTTCTCCAGAAAGACCCTGTACAAGAAGAAGTATTCAGCAGCTAGATCCAAGGTCGAAAAGAAAAAGAATGTTCAGGTTCTTACTACTGTCACAAAACCCTTGGTGGCGACAAGAATGGTGGTTCCCGAGTGGTCAAACTTCGCAAAATGCCTAGGTATTACCCTACTGAAGATGTGCCTCGGAAACTGTTGAGTCACGGCAAGAAACCCTTCAGTAAGCATGTGAGGAAGCTGCGAGCCAGCATCACTCCTGGGACCGTTCTGATCATCCTCACGGGATGCCACAGAGACAAGAGGGTCGTTTTCCTGAAGAAGCTGGGCAGTGGCTTGCTACTTGTGACAGGGCTTCTATCCCTCAATTAAGTTCCTCTGCATAGAACACACCAGAAATTTGTCATTGCCACCTCCACCAAAATCGATACCAGTGGTGTGACAATCCCAGAACATCTCACTGACACTTACTTCAAGAAGAAGAAGCTGCGTAAGACCAGACACCAGGAGGGTGAGATCTTCAACACAGAGAGAGAAATAGGAGATCACAGAGCAGCATAAGGCTGATCAGAAGGCTGTGGACTCACAAATTCTGTGAAGAATCAAAGCTGTCCCTCAGGTCCAGGGCTACCTCCGCTCTGTGTTTGCTCTCACAAATGGAATTTATCCTCACAAAGTAGTATTCTGAACTTCTTGCAAAGAACCTAATTAAATAACTTGTCCATTTAAAAAAATTTATAATTAACTTTGCGATGTGTGAATAATGTATTCAGTGCTAAGACTGCATCAAAATAATACTAATGATGCTTAAAATAAACTTTGTCCCCTCATCTCTACAACATGTCACATTTAAAACTCCTGTGAGTAACCTTATCGTTTAAGATTCTCTTCTGAATTTTGCATCACCATGTACACCAGAGTGATTCACACCATGAAGTAGACAATTTCAAAATATAAATCCAAGGAAAACAAGGCGACTGGGGATATGTCAGAGGGGAAAAAAGAAGAGAGGGAGAGAAAGAAAACAGTTGTAGCCACTGAATCTAAGTGACAGTTAGAAAATAACCAGTCAGACAAAGCCAAAATACACACAAGAACTCTTAAATGAGGTCACTCGCCTTTCTCTTCCAAAAGTAGCTAGAAAGCTTGTAATAGGAGAGAAAAGCAATGAATAATTAATTCCTACTCTAGGAGTCCACATCGGTAATCTCAAGCTAAAGCCTTAGGGCAAGAGGGAAATGCCCCCATATTTTCTTCCCCTAAAATGTTTCGTGCTAGACTCCTAGGTCTTTAAATGAAGGAGGTGTGTACCCATGGTGTGTTGTGTTGGTCTGGCAGATAGATCTTTGTGTGCTGATAATTTTGTTAAGCTTTGTTAATTTTGTGAAGCTCCAATACATCGGCGGGGAAAGATCCAAGGCAAAAAGGAGAAAAGGGCGGCAGAGAATGAGACGGTTAGATGAGATGGTTAGATAGCATTACCGATTGAATGAATGTGAATTTGAGCAAACTCCGGGAAATAGTGAAGGACAGGGAAACCTGGTGTGTTGCAGTCCATGGGGTCACAAAAATAGTCAGACATGACTTAGCGACTGAACAAGAACAAGAGAGCCTAATAGTTCACACTGAGCAGAGAGAAATAGGAACACCACACCACGACAGCAACAACAGAGAGCATGGAAAGGAAGATTGTGCCTCGTTTCCAAGGCCCAAGGCACAAAAGGAATTGGCTTTCTGTTCTTTATAATTAACTTTGCGATGTGTGAATAATGTATTCAGTGCTAAGACTGCATCAAAATAATACTAATGATGCTTAAAATAAACTTTGTCCCCTCATCTCTACAACATGTCACATTTAAAACTCCTGTGAGTAACCTTATCGTTTAAGATTCTCTTCTGAATTTTGCATCACCATGTACACCAGAGTGATTCACACCATGAAGTAGACAATTTCAAAATATAAATCCGAGGAAAACAAGGCGACTGGGGATATGTCAGAGGGGAAAAAAGAAGAGAGGGAGAGAAAGAAAACAGTTGTAGCCACTGAATCTAAGTGACAGTTAGAAAATAACCAGTCAGACAAAGCCAAAATACACACAAGAACTCTTAAATGAGGTCACTCGCCTTTCTCTTCCAAAAGTAGCTAGAAAGCTTGTAATAGGAGAGAAAAGCAATGAATAATTAATTCCTACTCTAGGAGTCCACATCGGTAATCTCAAGCTAAAGCCTTAGGACAAGAGGGAAATGCCCGCATATTTTCTTCCCCTAAAATGTTTCGTGCTAGACTCCTAGGTCTTTAAATGAAGGAGGTGTGTACCCATGGTGTGTTGTGTTGGTCTGGCAGATAGATCTTTGTGTGCTGATAATTTTGTTAAGCTTTGTTAATTTTGTGAAGCTCCAATACATCGGCGGGGAAAGATCCAAGGCAAAAAGGAGAAAAGGGCGGCAGAGAATGAGACGGTTAGATGAGATGGTTAGATAGCATTACCGATTGAATGAATGTGAATTTGAGCAAACTCCGGGAAATAGTGAAGGACAGGGAAACCTGGTGTGTTGCAGTCCATGGGGTCACAAAAATAGTCAGACATGACTTAGCGACTGAACAAGAACAAGAGAGCCTAATAGTTCACACTGAGCAGAGAGAAATAGGAACACCACACCACGACAGCAACAACAGAGAGCATGGAAAGGAAGATTGTGCCTCGTTTCCAAGGCCCAAGGCACAAAAGGAATTGGCTTTCTGTTCAGGGCTAACTGTTGTGTTGATAAGAACTAGAATATCCAAACCAGCGTAAGCTAAGTTTGGCAAGCATTCTGTAAGGGGGATGCTTACCAGAAATGAACTCTGGCATGGTGACCAACCACACCAAGTTGGGGTACTTTAGTTATCAGTCCCTAGTAATATACAAAAGAGCTTTTGCAAGTCTTCAGGAGGGTTTATTGAAAGGACCTGTGATTACACTGCAAGAGTGTATATCCTGAAAAGGTACTATTTCATCCACCCACAGGCTCGCACATCAACACAGCAGCAGCAGGATTGATTTCAGAGCATTAACTGCCAAGCCCTTCCCACGGGCCCAGCAGTTACACTCACCTCAGCAGCCCGGCCACCCTTCTGGTCCTGTTGCAGGAGTTCACCAAGAGGACGTGACCTCTAATTGACACTCAAACTGGACCCAGGCGATTGGAGGCACCGCACCCCATCCTCTGTCCTGGAATGTATGTTCTGCCCACCGTTCCCACAGCAGAAACAGTCCCAAGGACACGGCCGTGAGAGACAGGTGTGCTGTTGAGACCACTTGTGTGGCCAGTGTGACTGAGCGCCATTAAGGCCTCTGTGGAAGGACACAACTTAGGCACTACAGACCACCACCAATAAACTCTTAGGATGCTGGTGGGTGGGGATGGAAACCCACTCTCTCCTCCGATGGACCGCTAAGAAGTCTGAGCTTTGGAACCTTAGGTGGGCTTCCAGCAGGAGAGTCAAGTGGCCTGGCTGGTGTTGCAGAAAAGTATCTGGGGCAATGGATCATACAGAGCCTGGCAGAGACCCTGGGACAAATTTTTTCACTAAGACCAGGGAGACAAGGAAGGGCAGATTTGGAGCATCTTTGGAAAAGCCAGGTAGCAGGGATCTGCGGCTCAGAGAGCAGCAGGGGTTCTGAACAAGAGCCGGATCAGAGGTAGGAAGCAGCCTGTGTGAGAACTTGGCAGAGGGGCAAGGTTGGTGTGAGCTCACAGGCCAGATCAGGTTGATCACCTGCAACAGAAAATGCGATGAGACTTTTGGACAGACAGATCAACAGAAGGGAGTTTTGAGTATCATTTGCCAAGTTTAGACCCAATTCTGTGAGCAAAGGAGGATTTCTGAAATCTGTGAGTTTCTTTTTTATTGTCTTTTCTTTGTTTTTACCGCAGAACCAATAGACTCAGATTTCCAGTCTCCTGAGACCCCAGGAATTCCAGCTGGATGTCCATCATCAAAGCAAAACCGTGAATATGATTGTCTGTAAATGCAGGTCTGCAAATCAGGCCTTCAGTCTCAAGCAGTAGTCTCGAAGCTAAAATTAGAGTGGTGGAATGTCATGGAATCACTGCAAGCGTTACATCCCACAGACATCCCTTCAAAGTCTGTATTTGGTTTATCACCTGTTACTACTTTTAGTTCATTAGAAATCGGGCACAAAACTTGGTGACTTTTTGGGCTGGCATAGTGGTCCAGGCACTGCCGAGCATGTGTCACCTGCATCCTCCGAGACCCGGGTGTGGAGGGGCCCAGCCAGGGCTGTTCATGGGGACCCTTAGGCTTTACAAGACTCACGTGCCCTCTGAGTCATCAAGGGAACTTGGAGATTGCATTTAATATAGTTCACAATATACTACAGGGGCTAGCCCAGTGGCTGAGTGGTAAAGAATCCCCCTGCAACACAGGAGATGCAGGAGACATGGGTTCGATCCCTGGGTTGGCTTCCCTGGGTTGGATCCCCTGGAGAAGGGCATGGCAACCCACTCCAGTATTCTTGCCTGGAGAATCCCATGGACAGAGAAGCCTGGCAGGCTACAGTGCATGGGGTCCCAAAGAGTCAGACATGGCTGAAATGACTGAGCACGCATCCATTATACTATATTGGCTTGGAGACCAATTTACTGAAAATCGATGGTCTCTGTCTCCCCCTTGCATACCCACTCTCGTCCCACCTCTGCTCTAAACAAGGTCCCCCAAAATGACCTTGGGAGCTTCCTCTGGGTTGCATGGACAAAGGCAGGGTTGAGACTGAAGGCCTTTCTCTTTTCTCCAGGGAGAAGATGCACATGAACTTAAGGTCCCACAAACTCAGGGGCCTCCACTTCCAAAGCCAGCTACCCATAGGCTCTCATATTTCCCATGTTCTGGACAGCTGGATTTCCCAAACTCTGCCAACCACTGCATCCAGTGGACCTATAGACCATTTTTTCTCCCACTGACGAAGTGGTTCTCGCGTGTGTGTGTGCTAAGTCACTTTGAGTGATAGTGATAGTTGCTCAGTCACACCTGACTCTTTGCAACCCCATGGACTGTAGCCTGCCAGGCTCCTCTGCCCATGGAATTCTCCAGGCAAGATTACTGGAGTGGGTTGCCATTTCCTTCTCCAGCTAAGTCACTTTAGTCATGCCTGACTCTATGACCCTATGAACTATAGCCCACCAGACTCCTCTGTCCATGGGATTCTCCAGGCAAGAATACTGGAGTGGACTGACATGCCCTCCTCCAGGGGATCTTCCCGACACAGGGGTCAAACCCATGTCTCTTTCATCTCCTGCATTAGTGGATGAGTTCTTCACCAGTAGTGCCACCTGGAAGCCCCAAATTGGTTGTCACTTTTGCCCTGTAAAGAAGGGAGGGGACAGAGTTGGAGGGAGGAAACTCCTTCTTTGGGAATGTCCCCCTTTCCCCACTGTGGGTCCCAGAGAACCCCCTGGCTCCCACAACATTTATTTTGAGTTAACCCATCCTGTATGGGGCTGATTCCTTACAAGCCCTGTCACAGAGGAAAAGGGGAGATCACAAAGAGAAACCCCACTTCAGCGCAAGAGGGGACTTTTACAACTGCCTTGTCAACCCCAGTAACACAGTCTCCAAGGCAAGAAACACTGGGGTGAGTTTTGAGTCTGGTCTCTCCCCCCTTCTCTGTCTGGAGTAACCATATGTCAGGTTTGCCCACGACAGCCCTGGCTTATGCCTGCTGTCTGGCATGGTTATTAATAGCACTTCGCTTTCTTTCTCAAGGTGTCCAGGTTTGGATGATAAATTATATCGACTCCCCATCCATCTCTCATTTGTCAGCGACCGCTGAGAACCCTTCTCCCCAAATGCTCCCATGCCCATCTCCGTTATTCTGCAGTCTCAGAACCACCTTCTCTGTCCCAGTTTCATCACTTACTGCCTGTCTAAACTGCAGTAACCCCTTCTCTGCCAATCTGCACCATACATGTCTCATCCAAAACACAGCTTGCAACATGGAACACCCACCCAAATGCTTCCAACGATGCCAGTTACCCAGGACCCCTAAACTGAAATAATTATAAGCCACCTTTTAAAGTCCTGGGTAGCCTCTCTCTAAAATTTGCACTTCTTTGTAGGCAGATTGTGCTACTAAGCCTCTTCAGTGACGTTCGACTCATTGCAACCCTATGGACCGTGGCCTGCCAGGCTCCTCTGTCCATGGGATTCTCCAGGCAAGAATACTGGAGTGGGTTGCCTTACCTTCCTTCAGGGGATCTGAACCCACGTCTCTTATGTCTCCAGCGTTGGTAGGCGAGTCCTTTACCACCAGGGCCACCGTTAGCTGTTTGCTAATCTGAACGCTCAGCTATAGTCAGAATAACTTTTCACTGAGTCCACATTCCAAGCAAGTCCTCTCATTCACGCCTTTGCTGACTCAGCAAAACCTTTTCCTGTCTTCTCAAGCCCTAGTTCCCCAATCTGTGGCTTTCCACTCCTTGTCCAGAAATCCTTCCTCAAGTGCAAGGAGCCTGGGTTTCAAAGTCATGAAGATCTGACATTGATTGTAGCTCTTAGTGTCCAAGCACTGAAAGTGAAAGTGAAGTCGCTCAGTCATGTCCGACTCTCTGTGACCCCATGGGCTGTAGCCCGCCAGGCTCCTCTGTCCATGGGATTCTGCAGGCAAGAGTACTGGAGTGGGTTTACATTTCCTTCTCCAGGGGATCTTCCCAACCCATGGATCGAACCTGGGTCTTCCGGATTGTAGGCAGGAGGGAAGTCCTGCCTGAGCCACCGGGGAAGTCCAAGCACTAACCACTGCGTTTTATCGACTTTAAGACTCACTTTCCCCCTGTATTTATTTACTTGTGATTGCACTAGGTCTTCGTTGCTGCTCGGTAAAACCTTTTCCTGTCTTCTCAAGCCCTAGTTCCCCAATCTGTGGCTTTCCACTCCTTGTCCAGAAATCCTTCCTCAAGTGCAAGGAGCCTGGGTTTCAAAGTCATGAAGATCTGACATTGATTGTAGCTCTTAGTGTCCAAGCACTGAAAGTGAAAGTGAAGTCGCTCAGTCATGTCCGACTCTCTGTGACCCCATGGGCTGTAGCCCGCCAGGCTCCTCTGTCCATGGGATTCTGCAGGCAAGAGTACTGGAGTGGGTTGACATTTCCTTCTCCAGGGGATCTTCCCAACCCATGGATCGAACCTGGGTCTTCCGCATTGTAGGCAGGAGGGAAGTCCTGCCTGAGCCACCGGGGAAGTCCAAGCACTAACCACTGCGTTTTATCGACTTTAAGACTCACTTTCCCCCTGTATTTATTTACTTGTGATTGCACTAGGTCTTCGTTGCTGCTCGGGCATCTCTCTGGTTGTGGCGAGCCAGGGCGACTCTTCTTACGGTGCGTGCACTTCTCGTCGCAGTGGCTTCTCTCGTTGTGGGGCACAGACTGCAAGTGCGCACGCTTCAGTAGCTGCAGCTCCCGGGCTCCGGGGCACAGGCTCAGCAGTTGCACTGCATGGGCTTAGCTGCCCCAGGGTAGGTAGAATCTTCCTGGGCCAGGGATCGAACTCGTGGCCCCTGCACTGTGAGGTGGATTCTTATCCACCGCACCACCGGGGAAGTCCTCCCCCCCCCATTTTAACATACCTGGGAATGAAATATACCTTCAAATCTATGCCATCTTAGAATCAATATAGTGACTCTCTGGCTTTCTGTTATAACCCTAACTCTTGGTTTCCTCATCTTTTTTTAAAAATAAGTGCGTTCTGTGTGCTTAGTCATGTCTGACTCATTGCGACCCCATGGACTGTAGCCCCCCAGGCTCCTCTGTCCATGGGGATTCTCTTGGCTAGATTACTGGAGTGGGTAGCCTAGCCATTCCCTAGGGAAACTTCCTGGCCCAGGGATCAAACAGGGCTCTCCTACATTGCAGACAGATTCCTATGCCAGCTGAGCTATATGTGCATTTATTTGGCTGCACCAGGTCTTAGCTTCAGCATGTGGTATTCATTTCCCCGACCAGGGCTCGAACCCAAGGACCCCAGCATTAGGAAGACAGAGTCTTAGCCACTGGACCACCAGGGAAGTCCCCTCCTCATCTTTTTTTTTTTTAATAGCTTTTTATTGTGTATTGGGGTATAGCCTAATAACAATGTTGTGATGGTTTCAGGTGGACCGCAAAGGTACTCAGCCATGCATATACTTATATCCATTCTCCCCAAACTCCCCTCCCATCCAGGCTGCCACATAATACTGAGCAGAGTTCCCTGTGCTGTTCAGTAGCTCCTTGTTGGTGACCCATTTTAAATACGGCAGTGTGTACATGTCCATCCCACACTCCCTAACTACCTTCCCCCCATTCTTCCCCTCTGCAACCCCAAGTTCCTTCTCCAAGCCTGTGAGTCTGTTTCTGTTTTGTAAGTAAGTTCATTTGTCTGATTTCTTTTTAGATTCCACATATAAAGAACGGCTTATTTCTCCTTCTCTCTCTGATTCACTTCATTCAGTGTCACCTCTGGGTCAATACATGAGTCTCAAGAACATTGTGGGAATGGCTTGAGATAATATAGTCATGACCTGCGGCGGGGAACCGAGATGCTATCCCCAGCCATTCTGGAATCATCACCCAGCATCTCATGGGAAGACATATACCACGTGCAAAAATGGTTGCAACACATACCAAAGTTTGTATATTAATAGAATCTCACAGCATCCTCTGTACTGTGCAAAATCAGAAAGAGAAACTAGTCTCACCCCCAGGGGTGGCTTAACCACAACACGCCACTGAGAACCCTGTTCAGAGGAAATAAAGGGGACCTTTCTCCAGGGGTAATGGGTCAAGCAGCTTTGAGTTGTAAAGATGTCATTTGCACTGAGGAAACAACAAAAGCAGCTTTGTCCTTAATTTGTTCCTAAGTAGAAAAATCTTCAAAAGCTGAAAGAAAGTGAAAGTGTAAGTCGCTTCAGTCATGTGCGACTCTTTGCAGCGCTAGGGACTGTAGCCTGCCAGGTTCCAGTCTGTCCAGGCAAGAATACTGGAGTGGGTTGCCATTCCCTTCTCCAGGGGATCTTCCTGAGCTGGGGATCAAACCTGGGTCTCCCCCACTGCAGGCAGATTCTTAACAGTCCGAGCCACCACTCAACAGTCAGAGCCACCGGGGAAGCCTGATTTTATGTTAAAAAAAAAAAAATCCACAAGCAGGTAAGTATTGGATCCCAGGTGGCTGTTTTGGTAATGTTCATTTGGACAGTTGCCTTCCCTTGTGAGAGGTCCCTCGCTTTCTGTACAGAAGTTTGTCCACTGCAAGAAGCCCGGCAGGCAGCCACCCTGGGGCACAGCTAGCTGACTGGCAAGGAAATCTTTCCTTCTGTGTCATTTTGCCACCACCTTTGTGCTAGTGGTGAAGAACCTACCTGCCAGTGTAGATATAAGAGATGCTAGTTAGATCCCTGGGTCGGGAAAATCCCCCAAAGGAGGAAGTGGCAACCCACTCCAGCATTCTTGCCTGGAGAAGGCCATGGACAGAGGAGCCTGGCGGGCTGCAGTCCACGGGGCTGCAAGGAGTCAGACATGACTTAGCATGAGCACACACAGACAGGTAAGGCCCAGCTTTTGCAGAAAAACCTCAAGTCCAGATCATCAAAGGGCTGGGGTGTAGGATTTGAACGGGAGATATCAGTTAAGTATGAGGTCAAGATCTGATAATATTCTAAGTCTGCCCACAGAAAGAGCCTGACTCAATGATATCCCGTAGCAATGAGCTCACTTAGGGAGCAGATGGCTTTTAACTTATTGTTATTGTGTGCTCTTGTTGTTCAGTCACCAAGTCGTGTCTAACTCTTTTGTGACCCCATGGACTGTAGCCCACCAGGCTGCCCTGGCCATGGGATTCTTTAGGCAAGAATACTGGAGTGGGTTGCCACTTCCTTCTCCAGGGGATCTTCGCCACCCAGGGAGCGAACCTGCATCTCCTGCATTGGCAGGCAGATTCTTTACCACTAAGCCACGTAGGAAGCCCCGGATTTCTCCCAAAAGCAACCTAGGCTCCTTAGAGAATTGGCTGAT